TAAATAAATTGACTTTGGAAAATTTGGTTTAAAACTAAATATTGAGGTTTCCTTATGCAAAGACTACAGAATTGGTTTAATCAAGATTATGGATTAGTAACTACAGTTTAGATCAGGGAATTAAGATAGATAATACGCAAGTCTTAATTTATACTGGAACTTTCGAATTTCTCTAAATCAATAGATTTCTTATATAGATACGCGAAAGTCTAAGTGAAATTTTATGCGATTTATAGATACATTTTACCTATGAGAGTGAAAGAAATGTCCTTTTTTTTTTTTAGTATGAATCGAATTCGTTTCGATCTTCAATCCGGATTGCAACGAGCGATTTTATTCAATACGAATAGAAATGTAAGTTGATATAGAATGAAAAACTGATTTTCATATTTCAACGTAAAATTTTCTATAGAGACAGACCTTAAATGATAGTAAAAGTTTCAGATCTAGCTATTGTTTCTATTTTAAGATACAACTATGGTAATAGCGTATCTTGATATCTTGACACAGAAGCATCCGTTTTGACTGAAACTTACAGAATATGATAAGAACTATCAGATTTATTTCCGGATAAAATTTTTTGATTTAATTTTTTTCAGAATATTCTACAATAGGCTGAATGTTCAGTAAAATGATCATAATTTAACACGAAAGTGTTAAGAGACTTTTATATACGCCATAGATTCTAACAATCAACAAAATATGAATTCAAATAGAGGTTATCAATCGAAAGCATTTCCTTGTAAGTTGTGAACTTTTCAAAGCTAGATGATATTCTCTTGAAAATAATCAGCATTCGAATTTCATATATCATACTCTTCAAATGTATAAATAATTGATTTTCAAAAACGTTTGATTGTATTGTCAATATATACAAATCAGATAATCAATTATTCTATGATATACCTTCATTTCAGACAAAACGAATCATACTCACCTTACATTTGACTTCAATTCTTTACAAAAGTTATTTTTCTAAATTGATTATAATAGCATTTTTTCATTTATATACTCATACTCCGCCATGTCGCTGACACTCTGATAACAAAAACCCACCCCTTCCCCCAGCGCTGATTTTTTCAGGGTATACTGAAGTAAATTTAACATATAGAAAAATTAGCTCTGAGATATATATATTTTTAAATTTGTGAAATCACGTTGCTAACAAATGATTTTACTCTACATAAATACTTCATCTTCCTAAACGTTTATTTTAAAAGAAAATCACACGCTTAATAGCTACGAGGGGAACAAATATGAGGAACCGGACAAGGAGAGCAATAGTAATTGTCTTTTGCAGTTCAATATAAATGTTAATGATATTTAGCCCATTTGTACTGTTCTAGAAAAGAAATAAAAAAAAATAAAAAAAAGAGAAGATAATTTAAATATAATAACTTACTTCTATCAGGCATAGCAAAGAAGATAAAATTAATAAGTGATGCGACAGCAAAAATTTGTGTATACCAAATAAGATTTGGTTTTTTATTATCCAAATAAGCACGATAAAATTTCCAAAAAGCTAAAATGAAATATTTTTAATTTATTTTTTTCTTTAATAAATTTATCTTCAACTTACTTCGAACACTAGCTTGATATACACCCATTGGAGTTTTATCTCGTCGTGCAATCCATGCTGGAACATCAGCTATCTTCACATCAGCCAAATGAAGATCGCCTTAAATTATTCAAAATAATGAAAATAATATTAGTTTTTTTTTTAAGTTAAACATACGTTTTCCATAATAACGCCATGGACAATAAGGACCATGTACACGTGGATTAAAATCACGTGGATATTCATTAAATACTTTAAGGTATTTGGCAACATTCAAATATTGTAATGGATCCCACCAAGCTCTGATACGATCGGGATTACCCGGAATAATTGTTTCATTGGTTTTACTATACCACGCGTCACTCATAATAATTATTCAATCTAATTAAAACAAAAAAAAACCATCAAAAACTTTCTAATGTTTACATGATATATTTTAGAGAATATTTCTCAAATAATAAGTTTCATTGCCATTACCACTATTTCATGACCACTCTCAACTACCAATTAGAAATAAGTAGCGCTACGTTCGATGTACAAGTAATCCAAAACATTAAAATATTTTTTTTTTTTGTTACAGCTTGTTTATACTAGTAATAAAAGATTTTAGTGTTGTTGTTGTTGTTGTTGTTGTTCACTTTTTTGACTTAATTGAATTATTAACATCATATACCAATAACAAATATATGTGAAACATATTTTTGATGGATAGTCAATCAAAAAAAAAAAACAGAAGGTTTTTTTCGTCGGTAGAGCTTGTTCCTATTCAAATTTACTCAATAAGTTATGGTGCTATGACCAAAATACTCAAAAATTTCGATTATTCCATTTCTTTTGCATTGCCTATTATATCTAATGGTTTCAGAGATGTCTAAAATTACATATAAACTTTCAATATAATGCAAGTTTCGTATTAAAGTGTTCTGAATGATTTTCATTTAAAAATTCGGTCGATAATAAATATCTCAACACTGTGGAACTAAACTTTCTTTTTCCACGATAGAGAAGACTTCAGAGTGTTTTTTTCCCATAAGGACAATATTTATAAATATTGCTTTGAAGTATCATCATTGAGTTCATTAATGAATTTCTATCTTTTATAGTGTTGAAGATGGTCCTAACAGATGCATGCATCGATAGTGTATTCCATGCACAAGTCACTTTGATTATTCTTGGTGGTACCCGTTTTTGAAGAGGTTTTGAAAAAATATACTTCGATATTTTAGATTTATGTTGTGACCTTTAAAGCCATAAAGTTCTTATGGAAAAACGAAACTCTGAAGTTTCTTCTATCAAAAAAAAACGAATATTAGCTCTATAGAATGGAATAAAGGCGAAATAGTTAAATTTTTATCGTACAGCTACTTATGAACGGTCTTGTACGGAATACCAAGAGATGTTATTAATGTTATTTATTTATTATTATATATCTGTTTGTATCATCTAAAATTCATTGTAATGCATGACTATGACAGCATTAGTATAAATTATTGTTGTTTTAATTTTATATATAATTTAATGACTAATAGTCTACAATGCATAAATAACGAGTGGAGCAAAAGTTCTGCATTAATTTTGTTTTTGATGTAGTGCTATATAATGGAATCTCGTAGAGATTTCATCTTTTTTTTTTTGTTAGAAAGAGTAAAGTATCTAGTGCAAATATATACAAATGAATATTATTGAAAATGTTTAATAGAAACTACAGAAACTTTAGAACAAAAAACATTGAAAAAGGATTCCACAATTTTGGTGAGAATATTTTAATTCGAAAATATTTGTTTGAGCTTTTTATGCGGTGTTTTTGAGAATTGTATATATATATATAGTTGATTATTAAAAAGAAGGCTTTTATGTAGTATTAGAACAATTGGTCTAGCATACAAGAGAAGAGTATATTATTAAACAATTTAATTTTGCGGATTTATAATTTCCAATACAAAAACAAATGTTTGGTTGAATATCACGTGAAAAATCTGCGTCCTATTTCAAATAATATCGTACGATAGAAAACTCATCAAGCTTTAATTTTCAAATGAAATATATAATTTCTAACAATCTCCAGAGTTCGTTTCAATCATTATAAAAATATAAAGAGCTTACAAGACTTCACTACCCGTACCTTGTGAAATTCGGATTAGAAGAATAAAAATAAAAGCAGTCAGATTAAATGACATATTTTCCAAGCTCACAAGAAAAAGTTACAGAATCATTTTTCAATGCTTTCCGTTCTAAAGTTTCTGTAGTTTCTATCAAACATTTTCAATGATATTCATTTGTATATTTCTGCACTAGATACTTTACTCTTTCTAACAAAAACAAGATAAAACCTCTACGAGATTTCATTACAGCGTTACATCAAAAACAAAATTAATGCAGAGCTTTTGCCTCATCCGTTTTCTGTACAAATATCGAGAGCTATTGTGTTCGATGATATCTTTTAAAGTATGTCAAAATTTCGTCAAAAATCGTGGAATATGTTCGTTTTGCTTTTTCTGCTATCTGTTGGCTACTCTGGATATGCAGAAAAAAAGGGAAAATTAATTTTCAGAAAGCTAAGATTTCATAGCCTTTTTTTCCAAATTTTCGAACTCACTATCTTCTTTTTTTAGTTAACATAATGCAAGTTAAACTAAGAAAAATATTGTCAGACATAGATGAATGATTCCGGCGTTCGGATTTGTGGACTTTCGATTAGAAGCAAGCTATATTTCTTGACCTGGATAAATACAACTAACAAAATGTTTCTAATATGACTAATGTAATAGATTGACCATAAATGAAAAATCAGAAAAAATTCAATTTGCTATTTTCTACTTTGAAATTATTCACAAGGAAGTGATTTTAAGATGTAATAAAAAATGCAGAACTTTTTTCGACTATTCACCTGTATGTTAATACATTATATATTCACTTCTTATTACATTGAAACATAGATTTATGGTTTGTGATATAGAATTTTATTTTCAAGGTTTTCTTCAAACCTTGAATTCGAAAAGTAATTGTTGTTATATTAGAAGATGCAGAATTTTATGTTCTACAACATGAATTTCTTTCTAGGATTTTCATCGTTTTACTCCCACATAGACAGAGTTAAGATATACTCAGTCAAAGGGAATAAAGTCAAAAGTAAATCATCACCTATTTGTTGTAACTACTGTAGGACTTCATTTCAAAATGATTTTGTATCTCAGCAATTGACATATTGTTGTATGTTTTTTGATGCCTTGTTTGAATATCTTATATGAAGATAATTATCAATACGGTAGCGAGCAGTTCAGACTTTTTAAACATCTGATAAACTTGTATTAATCTTATTCTATGATATTTCGTTATTTACTAAGAGAAGAATTGAAAAACTTTTCAATTGAATAAAATAATTCATCGTTTAATCTTTATCTGTAATTAATATCTTTTTTTTTCAGTTAACAAAAGTACCTATCGAAGATCAAAAGAGATAATAAATTTTGCTGTGCAGTCCAAAATATAACATAAGGTGTATCTATCAAAGTAACAGGTGTTCTGTTTCTGCTGGGTACACCTATCATTAGAAATATTATCTGTAACTGTTTACAACTAATAATGCGATATCTCAAGAAGATAACTTTTCGTAGCATTCTTTAATAGTCTCATTGTTGAATTGAATAGTTTGTTTTAAAAGGTTTATTGTGTGACTTTGAAATTATTGCTTAAGGGTATCATATTACATTTTCTTTTTTTTTTTTTTTTATCATATTCTTAACATTTTATATGTTGCATTCGCTTGATGTATTTTTATCTGTGAACTTTGCGAGTATCATAACAATAAGAAGCAAGAAAAGAAAAAAAAGAATAGCAGGAATGTTAGCGTGTGATGTTGATATGATTGGTTTAATGATAAAGAAAACGTGTTGGAATGACAAAGTAGAATAAAAGAGAGAAAAAAAAAAGCACGTCTATTATCAATAAGCGCACTCAAGATGATCGACATTACAACATCTAGTAAAAATATACATACACACACACACAAACGCGCGCAGAGTGTTTAACACATCGAAAAAAGAAAAAACAAACGAATAATTCTATTTAAAAGCATTTACGATGAACAATTGATGGACCTGATTCATCATATTCTTGTTTTGAAATCCACATTTGTTGAAATGTTGATAATGATGCTAAAATTGAACCACCAATCCATACAGAATATTTTCTTTCAGGTGGTGCAATTATTTTAATTTTCATTGTTGATGGTGCTAATGATGTTATTTCTTTTTGCATACGATCAGCAATACCTGGATACATTGTTGAACCACCAGAAAGAACTGTATTTGCATATAAATCTTTACGTATATCAATATCGCATTTCATTATTGAATTATATGTTGTTTCATGAATACCTTTAAAAAGAGAAAAATAATAATCAAACATAATATATTGACAAAAACAACAAAACAATTTTTACCAGCAGTTTCCATTCCAAGAAAACTTGGTTGAAATAAAGCTTCAGGACAACGAAATCGTTCATTACCAATTGTAATAACTTGTCCATCAGGTAATTCATAACTTTTTTCTAATGATGATGATGATGCAGCTGTTGCCATTTCTTGCTCAAAATCTAATGCAACATAACATAATTTTTCTTTTATATCACGAACAATTTCACGTTCAGCTGTTGTTACAAATGAATAACCACGTTCAGTTAAGATTTTCATTAAATAATCAGTTAAATCTCTTCCAGCTAAATCAAGACGAAGTATAGCATGTGGTAATGCATAACCTTCATATATTGGTACTGTATGTGTTACACCATCACCTGAATCAAGTACAATACCAGTTGTACGACCACTTGCATAAAGTGAAAGTACAGCTTGAATTGCAACATACATTGCTAAAAAACACATATACAAACAAAATCAATTTAAATAGAAAAATTTTTTCATTTATTTATTACCTGGTGTATTAAATGTTTCAAACATAATTTGTGTCATTTTTTCTCGATTTGCTTTTGGATTTAATGGTGCTTCAGTAAGAAGTACAGGATGTTCTTCAGGTGCAACACGAAGTTCATTATAAAAAGTATGATGCCAAATTTTTTCCATATCATCCCAATTTGTAACAATACCATGTTCAATTGGATATTTTAATGTTAATATACCACGTTTTGATTGTGCTTCATCACCAACATAGGAATCTTTTTGTCCCATACCAACCATAACACCTTGATGACGTGGTCGACCAACAATTGATGGAAATACTGCACGTGGTGCATCATCACCAGCAAAACCAGCTTTACACATACCACTACCATTATCAATAACAAGTGCTGCTACGTCGTCGTCACACATTATTGTTTAGTTGTATTGATTAAAAAACGAAAGAAATATAACG